GAGCTTGTTATGCTCTCTGACCAAGCTCGTTATGATCTCAGATCGAGCTCTTTATTCTCTCTGATCGAGCTCCTTATGATCTCAGATCGAGCTCTTTATACTCTCTGATCGAGCTCCTTATGGTCTCTGATTGAGCTCATAAGCTCGCTCGTTTACTTAAGATTGTGTGCATTAGATCGTTCAAATCGCATGCCTCAAACTCTCAGGTCGAACTCCTATCAAATCTAGATCAGCTCCTAGCTCTCAAATCGTAATCAGCTCTTAGCTCTGATATTGCAAATAGCCTCAGGTTGTGTTCTCAACTTTCAGATCGTGATCAATTCTCAATTCTCAGTTCTCAGATTGCGACCAGCTGCATCAGAAAAAACGCGTATAAAACTTAAAATAGCCCCGAAACATGCTGAAACAGTGGATTTTGGCCCCGAAAATGGCCCCAATCAGGTTTCCCATGTTGCCACGATGTAAAGCTTGGAACAAGCTTTCCGTGGATATCTTATGGGCTCCAAAACTCCTCCTGGATCAAAAGTTATGGTTGTTTTAAGTTGGCTTATCTGTTTAAAGCGTCTAAATCATGCGTTTGGGTTTCTGACGCTAGCTCCCTCCAAGAATTCATCTATTGGACATTTCATGTCAGCTATCAGATCGCGCTCGACTTCGGATCACTCCAAGCTTTCAGATCGCAATCCTATCTCTCAACACCCGATCGCGCCAGGCATAGTTTGAGCTCTTCAGTTCGAGACTGCACTATTGCAGCTTGCAGTGCGACAACCATTCAGATCAAATACTTGAGTTTTTGAAGCGCGATTACGCACTCCAAAAACTGGGGGGGTTCTGTTATACTTAAAAAGTCACGATGATGTCAACTCAATAAGTGCCTAAAAGATAAATTGTACTTCTTGTCAAGCCCATACCGCCTCAAAGATATCTTATACCAACCCTATCTCATTTTAAGAGAATAACGGATAAGAGTTGTCCATGTGTCAAGGCAACTTGCAAAACGCTTATTACATTGACCTCAGAGGTGTATAAATTGACACTTCTCTTCACAAAAAAGTGGGCCTGGGCATATGAGAGTTAGACATAGATTTGAGCTTCATTATTTCTCTCTGTAAACAAAGTATTTATCCATCTTTATATGTCTTAGGGGCAATATCATAGAAATAGCCAAAGAATATAAAGTAACAATGGATGTAGGATTTGCTTTAAGCATCCGAACCACTATAAAAACCTCTCTTATCAGTCTATTATTTATGTTTTCTACAATATATATAATCTCAGCACCATATTCCAATTTCATTGATCCATCACGTGTAATTTCTAAGACTCTTTTAATATTTTACACGTGCGAGTCTTTGGCATCCAAAATTAAGCATCAATAATATATATACGGATAAATAAATGAATTTATATTGCGTTTAAATATGATCATGATATAGTTGCAGTTGACACGTAATATAAATAGTTCATGACACAAACATTAAATACGAAGAATTTAATCAGTGCCTGTGCGGTAGTTTTCAAGATAGTAGCCAAGGTCATCTTTCATTAAATATGAAAATAACAAGTGACGTCTTATCCAGGGCATGAAGATGAACATTACGAAATGAGACAAGTTACAACAACATAATCCAGACAATATATATCCACTTATCATTCGTGGGCATAGCCATAAATTTTGCACCAACAAAAACTCGTTTTTCATCATGTATTTATAGCAGGTACTGGAAACTTATTGCTGCTGCTAACTTATCTAGTTGGAAATGGGTACTGATTCAGGTTCAGCTTACGTTGCCAAGTTTGATTTCAATTAGAATCAATAAATTTGACATTGTCTTGTAGCTTTAGGTACCGTTCGTTGGGTTAATGATTATGCAAAGAATGATATGACAGCTTTATTATTGATAATCTACTTATTTTTTATCACTAATATCTAGAATTTCAATTATCGACGCCGCTTCATGACAAAGCCTTCAATAATGCATATTTTATTTGCTATATAGAAATTTCAGTAGTTTATACAGACTCAACTATGCACGGTAATGGGGACGGAATAATCACCATCAGATTTAAGTTTCCAGTAGTCCCAGTGCTCCACCTTTGAGTTTCTGTAGGATTCAATTCATGATCACTCTTGTGACCTTGAGTCACCTGCTACAGTGGCTTGAGAACCTGGACTTCCCATAGTTTATTCAAACCTTCTGGTGCTCTAGCGTATCATTTATGTGATCTAGTTATAGGTTATAACCCCCTCGACCTTGACTGTCAATGTTCCAAATGTCGAGATGATCCTATTTGGGAACACGATGAATCTTATCTTCCCAGAGAAAGATTGATGTAACTAGACAAATCTCCATTCCAGATTTGAGAAAAATGATCCAGAAATTGGTTTTCTCGGCCAACCCTTCGGCAAATTTGTCAAATACTCTAAATCAGTCTGGAAAAAACCTACCACAAAACATTCATGGGACTCTTAAATAAATAATTTTCTGACGTGCTGAAAAACTAAACGATTTAATCTTTTTCTTTTTCTTTTTTCACTTGAAAATTTTCTGTTCATTTTTTATCTTTTAGTTGTAAAAATTGAAGAGCTGTTATTGAGCTGGGAATCTTCAAAAACAAAATGATTCTTGGCCAAGTTGAGACTGGTTGTTGTTTCAAACTGAAGACAGTTCAATAATCTTAGCTGAATTACTAAGTTACATTGTCATGAACCATCCTTAAAGTTTTTCAAATTTATCGTTAGGACAAAAGATTTCATATTTTTTTTATTATAGACTGCTCCGAGGGGGGCGTTTGATTGGGGGTTATGTGGGATTACTGGGGTTAAGTCATCTTCTATTACTTGATTACCATGTTTGGTTGTTGAGTAATATAAGATACCGGTAATCTTCAAATACCAATAGTGGTTACTATTGGTAATATTAGATGTAATCTGATTACCCATATTTTCTTAGGTATTCTAAGATTATCAAGGTTATCTTTTTTTATTACAATTTTATCCCTTATTAATAAAATTTTAAGACAATAATGTCCTTATTTTTAAATTTATTTACATGACTATGGATTTTACTATTTCACCCCAATTAATTAATTTTTTGGACAAAATTACACTTAAATTCAAAACAAATTACAGCCCACCCAAGCCACCACCCCCACCCACCTGCCATTGGCAACCGCTGCCGCGGCCAGCAACCAGAACAGTGCACAGAAGGCCGAAAATGGTCGTTGTGCGCCAATATGGCCATTTCCAGCCAAATTAGATCTGGTCGTCGACAGCCAGATTGTCACGTCTGGTCATTTCCGATCAAATCTCTGGTCGGAAATGGCTAGATGGTGCACGAAGGCCATTTCTTGCCTTCCGTGCGTCGTTAGGTTGCCGGCGGCCTGTGGTGGTTGTCGGTGGCCGATAGTGGTTGGGTTGGTGAGGGTGTTTTGTTGATTTTTCAAACTTTTATTATAGAGTTGTTTTTGCTAAATTTTTAAATGTAGGGGGCTATAATAATCAATATTAAAAAATAATATTTAATTAGAAGACAAATCATTAATTTAAATAATATACCTACCAATTTATTTCTCTCAACCAAATATATTAATATAACATATCCACCAATTAACCAAACACAATTTCCTAAAGATTCCTAGTAATCTTCAAGGTAATCGAACTTTCCAGTAATCCAACATTCCTTGAACCAAACATCCCTTCAAAGTTTGAAACTGTATCATAAATACCCTTTTGTGTTATCAAATTGACCCTCAAAGTTTAAAATATTTATCATAGATACCCTTTTGCTCTAACCTTGTCACACTGTATTTAGGTTTGCGAAACACTTTCTTATAAGATCAAAATTACCATTTCACTCATCTACCACAAACAACAACACGACGGAATTAGGACAAAGCCCAAAGGGATATGTTACTATGTAAAGTTTGTTGTTGCACTGCCTTAATCCTATTTCCCATCATAAGCCGGATTTAAAAAAATGAGGAATTTAAGGCACAAAAATGGGATCAATTTCAACCCAATCCAGCTTAACCCATCAATCATCCAAATCCAAATTATTTTTAACTGTGTTCTTTATTTTGTATAAATAAAAAGTATATTCATTAATTTTAAAATATAAATAATATAATTTTTATTCAAATTCAATAGACTCTTTAAATTTAATCAAGATGCTCTTTATTTTTAAAAAAGAAACTTAATAGGAGAAAGAATTAATAAATAAAATACATAGGAACTTATAGTTTATTAATTAAAATTAGGATAAAAAGTGAAATTTGACTCTCTAAATGTGGAGAGTCAAACTCACTCTTTAATTTATATTTTAAAGATAAAAAGTCTGTTAAACTCTTATTTTAATAAATAAACTCTTTATAATAAAAATTTTAGGTCATATAAAAAGACATTTTGAAATGCTCTAAACCCACTACTTTTTTAAACCATAAACTAATATTAATATAACAATATAAAAATAGACATGGAATAAGTAGTTATTAATTAATTCAAAATTACATATTCATTAACTTATAGGTTTACAGCTCAACAATGTGACACCCATAATATAATATTAAATAAATAAATTATATAATATTTTGTTTATAAATAAATACAAAATTTAATTAAAATTTTGTTTGTTAAAAACAATTTTCCTTTAATTAAAATTATTTGTTTTCTGTTGTTTTACGTTATGAAATTACTAGAAACAGAAGGTAAAAAAAGGACTGTATAAGTTAAGGGAGGAGATAAAGAAATAGTAATTAAAAAAAAAAAGGGCGAAGCTGGCAGAGAACGTGGGCGAATCAGAATCAGAGCATATGGCGCCAACTGTGATCACAGACTGGCGGGAATCCAGAAAAAGTGAGCTCACATGGCCTTTCAGCCTTTTAACTTTGATGTTCAATCCGCAACAGGCGGCCTGACCCCACATTCTCACCCGTCTCCTGGTTACCGGCTTCACCAGTTATTTTACTTCCAGACAATACACATACTATAAATAAAACAATCTTAAGCCCGACTCTTCAACGCCATAGCATCATCGTTATTCCCACTCTCTCTCTTTAGGTTCTCTTTAGATAGAGAGCCTTTATTCTTTTTTCTCGCCTGTTTTGTTAAATTTGTCGTTTTCTCTCTCTGCGCGGCTCTCCTGATCCCTGAGCCGCTTATTTTAACAGAAGTTTGGGAGAGGCTTCGCAGAGAGAGATCCGAGTTTTTGAAATTTGAATAAAGAGAGAAATGGCGGTTACTAGGGTTTCATTTGTAGTTGTGGCTGTTGCTGCTGCTCTCATTTTTGCTATTTTCTTGCCTGCTACTTATGCTCAGGCTTCCGGGCCCGCTCCTGCCCCCACCAGTGACGGTTAGTTCTTTTTGCTCATTAATTTTTTTTTTTTATGTATACTGGCTTAGATTTAAGTATTTTTTTTGCAGATCCCAAATGATTAATTGATATTGTCTCATTCATCGTTAAGATTCTTCTTTTTTTCTTTTCTCATGTTTGGTTTCTGATATTCGGATTTGATTTGGGTTATGAAATTTTAGTAATAGCTTTGTGTGATTGAACATGATGTGTTTGTTGGAAAGCAAGTTATGGAGAACGTTAAAACTTAAATTCAAATGCTTGACCGTTATATAATGAACGAATGTCAGAATTAATGGTGAACATATATTAGGATTTGGTTTTATTTGTCTTCAAAGACGTCCACGGAAAGTGAAGAAACATGCAGATTATAAGATTTGTTTTCAAAGTCTTGTAGGGTGGGCTCTACTTTGGCATTGAATTGGGTTTGGTTTTTAATGGTTTCAGGGACATCTATCGACCAAGGGATTGCATATGTGCTGATGTTGGTGGCGCTGGTGCTCACCTATCTCATTCACGCCGCTGACTTTTATTAAAAGCTTGTAATTTTTTGCAATTGTCGGGGGATTTGGAGTTAGGATATGGAGGTGTTCGTTTAAGGCATGAAAGTGCGATATAATTTGTTGGATGATTCGTATGTTTGATTGGTCTGAGATATTGGGGCTTGTTTGTATGTAGTTTTCATGCACTTTGACGAATTGTTGTTGGGCATTGATAATGTTAGACAGCACTGTGATTGCATTGCTCTAGACAATGAAATGGCGAACACAGAAAGCAACTAACAGTAAGCCAATAACCAAAGGAATCAAGCATATAATAAAACATGATAAGCAGTTTCCACCTCAATAAGCTTTCACATTCCACTTCCAGAAGCCTATTGTAACTAATACCACTCATCTCCACAACTGTCTTGTGAAAAGGAAAGACAAACGGCTCTACTTTGCCACCCCCACAATATTATAAATGAATAGGTTTGCTTTTGTTAAGGCATAGCTTATTTAGGCACATATTACTTCAGCTAATATCAAGACGAGACGGTGCCATTTCTGTTATTCCATTTCCATGTAATACTAGACTATTACAAAATGAACATTCAAATGTTAGAAACAAATTAGTCACTTATGAATCCTGCCAATAAAATTTAAAACAGGACTGAATGATAATAATTCCTTTTTCAACTTCAAAAATTCTTCATGGATATGCAGATTCAAAATATTTGGTGATCTATCATATCTTAATAGAATTCCCCATCAAAACGGAAAGAAAAGGGACAAAAATAAGTAAAAAAGGTTTCTTCAAATTAAGAATCCTAACAGTACTAAAATTCTCAAGCTTTCTTGCTAGTCGGGCCTGATTCCTGCTGACCTTGGTCAGCTAATGAAAACTTCTTCACTTTCTGTGGAGAAAATAAAAGAGAAGGTTAAAATATATTCCGCAACGAAAAAGCACAAAAGAACAGCAGAACAGACATAAATGCGTAAAGTTCATATGAAGAACCATAAACAAAGGTCATTGAGATGAACAAGAATAAAGAATTATGAAAACGGCATGTTCAAGTTTCTATCATCAAGGTGGAACCAATTACCAGTCTCATGGAGAACAGTGTCTGAGATAGTGAGGCTAAATTGCTGGATTCCACATTAATCAAGTATTATTTGTTTCAATGTGATAACATGCATTTTGATTTATAGATCAATTAGGTTCATCTCCATTTATGATTTACACTGCTTTGATGCATAAGCATTTCATTTTCACAATCTAAAATCATGAAAGGCTCTGGATCATGGCAGTATCTTCATTATTCTGAACCCAATAACAGTCTTAAGGGTAAACTTAAATAAAAGGCTATGTTCATTAAAGCAAGCTTAATATTCAATGGGATCCACCTATTATATGTGGGTGAGAAGCAGAAAGGAACGGTAATCATAAATGCCTTTGATGAATTGATATAATCCTCAAAGAGAAAGGAAAATGCCCTGGAAGTTAAAATGATCTGTTCTAAACACCGAGAAGTCAAGAATTCCAAAATTTCTGATTAAAACATAAAGCAAGAACCCCAAGATTACAAAGCTGTATTTCCTTAATGTTTTTGTTCTGGCTGGGACAGAAATTTTAACAATTGGTTATCTAAACAAGCAGTTTCACTAACTCAAAAACTAATCCTTTGCAGGAAAACTGAATCTATCAAGCACAATGAACACTTAAAAACTCATAATTATTTGAAGTTTTTGAAACATTTCAAGTTCTAAGCATTTCATTTACACATTCCGTTTACCATGAAACAAAACGTTTTTTACTTGTAAAAACCAAACCATTAACATTAAAAACAGGTTCAAAAACAGCCAGATTATTATGCTAATAACATCTGATTCAATTTCAGAACTCGAACATGAAAGAATTTCGAAATTTCAGCTAAATTATAACCATAAATCAGTGGATCCGATCAAATATATACCTTGCGAAGGACGCACTCTCTTAAAGCTTGCATGAGTTGAAGACATTTTTCTTGATCGAACGGCGATTGTGTAACGCAATTGAGAAGATCCAGCGACTCTTGTGCGCACTCCGGCTTATCGCTTGTATTCTCCATGGCTAATTTAAGAGTTTGGGTCAATTACCAAAACTAGGGTTTTACTTTTTTAGGTTCAAAGCTGTAAAACAAGATAGAATAATAGTCCAAGGTTTACGGGAGTGGAGTGTTTGGCTCTGAGGAAAATATTGCGGGAAATATAGAAATTTCTCCCGCCTTTGTAAAACCGCGGCTTAAATTGTTGGATTGGTTCTGTTCTGCGCCCGCTGTTTCCTTTTCTCCAAGTAAACACCACGTATTTGTTCAGTTGCTTTTACTGTATACCGATTAGTACCATCCGTTTAATTAACCTTTGTAATTTAATTAAAGGACTGGTGCGTCTTCAGTGTCTTGTGCTATTGGACTATTCAAAGAAAAAACGAGAGTGATGTTATATAAACCCCACACAATTTATATGTACACCCCATTAATGAACTATGCCTAGGATTAAACTTATCCAATGAATGAGAACGTTCAGTGTTTTCTCTGTTGTCATTAATATCAACTCCGGTGAAATTCAGTCAAGAAGAGACTGAAATCACTTGTCAGTTAATGGGTCTACACAAAGGTAGCAATTCTGCTTGCAACGGTGGTAGGGAGTATTGTATCTCACTTGGAGATGAAGGCATGAAAGAGATGGAAAATAATACAGTCATCGACGGTAGTGCACCGAATAACGTGATAAAATCCTGACTATTGATTAATTTTAATTTAATATTTATCAACGGTCAGGATTTTGTCACGTCATTCGATGCACAAATTCAGTACACTATTATTGGTGACTGTAACATTACTCGGAAAGAGATAAGATGAGAAATTGATAACTAATTGGTCACTGCCAACTCGAAATCAACCCAATGCATGCCCAAATTTAAACATAACATTTTTTTTTTTTTTTTTTTTGTTAATCGGGTATTCGGACTAACTTACACACACCTTTATTAATTCAGGAACAACTATCTTATAGCAATCTACTGTCATGGCCTCTCAATAAATCATGGGAGAAAGGAGAAAATAAATACCTAATTAAATTTGAGATTTTGAGAAAAAAAGTGGAAAACTGAAAACCTAATTAAGTTTAGAATTGGGAAAAATAAATCTAACTAAGCTTAGAGGGCTATTTTTTATATTAAATGGGTTTTAAAGAAATTTTTATCTTTTTTTAATTATAAAAGAGATGTATTTAGTAATAAGGGATGCTCATCAATTAGGTGGACGCTAAAAAATTAAAAATTTGGAATGCGTTTGTTTAGTTATTTTGAGTAGTATTTTTTAATATTATTGTAAAGTTGAATTGTGTTATTATTTTGAGAATATGATTTGAAAAAAAATGCGTTTGGTAGAGTATTTAGTTAGGTTATTGTTACGAGAATATAATTTGATGTTTGGTAAAGTATTTAGGATAGAATATTAAAGTTGAATAAATTATAGAAAAATTGTTTGGTATGTTTTTTTTTTATAAAGGATTTAGATAGAATTCTTTGTGGGGGGAGAGGGGGTGATCATGGTCGTACCTACTGGCCTCAGTTTGTCAGAGGAAACCAAAAGATGGTGGTGTTTCTTAAGTCTTAAGTGGCGGAAGAAGGTGTTTTTGGGTGGTGTTTTTAAATGCAGGTGGAGGAGGGTGTTATGGTGGTTGTAACATGGAAGAGGATGACGGTTTCTGTTGTAATTTTTGAAGAAGAAATGTGGAAGAGGGCGGCCGCCGCTGGTTTTGATCTATGAAAAAGAAGGTGGAAGTCATGGTATATGAAGGTGGAAGCCGTACATCAACTAAAGGAGAGAAAAAAAAAAAAAAAAAAAAAATTAACTGTAGTGCCGACTAAATCAGATTAGTAGGAATCAAATTTTCAAAATTTGATTCTTTGAATAATGTGTTAAATGCGTATTTTAAAAATCTGACTAAAAAAATTAATAGAATACTGAACCAAACACGCCCAACTTTCTCCTGACAAAACGGACAAATTCAATTGCTTTTTAATATTGGGCCTTAATTCAACTTAAAAATTTTTATGAGCCCAAGCTTATGGCCCAAAATAAAATGTGTTATCGACCCATAAGTAATGGACAAAAAGCCCACATTTAGGATAAAATGACCAGAGGAGAGCGAAACTGAAAGCCTTTAATTGACATGATCTAGAATATACCAGTGTTTTATTTCATAAAGGGGAAGGAGTTGGTGAAAAAAACCAGAAAATATCTTAACCAATATTATTAGAAGAATTTGAGATTCAAACACATTCAGAGCATGGGAAGTTGTTAAGTAGTAAGTGAAAGTGAAACCCCACACCACAAGAAGTGCGTGTGAAGAGTAGTGGAGTGGTGGGCATAGTATTAATTTCTACATCAAAGATCATGAGATAATGACCCCAAAATAAAATAAATAAAAATCAATTAGATACGAATATACAATGAAAGAAATCTACATAATATTTAGGAATGAACAAAAACTAAGATCTCAAAGCTGTCGGTAGGTGATATTGACAAACAAGGAATGGGCCTACTTGCCTGCTTTGCCACCCTTAATGCATGAATCACCATTTATGGTCCGTATTATATCCATCAAATCATCCCCCAACAAGGAAGCTAGGCCCCTGAAAAGGAAACACTACATCTTTTTCTCTTTATTTTCCATACACACTTCACGTGACCACCCTCACTCTCAAATCTCCTCCACCTTATTTCATATTATTTATACCATCCAATTATTATGTTTACAAGTTTATTATAAAATCACACAAACAAAAATCTGAAATATATATATAAAAGATGAACTTGTGATAGTAAATAGTGATTCATTTGACTATTTTAATGAATTTGTAAATAAATACAAATGTTGTACGGTCAATCCCCGAAGCATAGATTCACGTTATGTGTCATTTCATTTTAGGTTATTCTTACTTACAAGTTTGTTATTATAACAATATATAAGTTGACTTTTCACCCAAATTGGGGAAATTTTTAGGATGTCTCGTTCATATTTTGTGCAAGCCACGTTTATATGCAGAAAAACATAGAAACAGTGGACATAGGATTTGTGCCAAGCATTCGAACCATTTTAAAAATCTTTTTTTGTTTGTGCTTTTGATTCATCCGTTGATCCCGCATCCGATCACAAATTTCATACAATCCCTTACGAATATTTCATCATGGGTTCTACAAACTTTTCGTTGGTGAGAATCACAGCATCAAGAATAAGTATTCACCAGATCATTGAACAAGTCAATTTTTATGTGAGTGTTGGTATAGCCATGGGTTATCAATGTTGCACCTAGCACATTTATATACATCTGAGTTAATCGTAAATAGACAAATTCAATTCTTAGGCCGAAAAGCCCATTCCTTCATGGGCCGGAGTGTGGATTCAGGTGTCCAGTTAAAGAAAGAGAGTGTGTTTTTTGTTTTTTTTTTTAACTCTTATCGAAAATGGAAGGTACAGAATCCACATCAGCATATAAGAAGCGGGACCACGAATCACGGCCGTACCCCAGGTAAACAGTGATTGATGAGCTGGGAGTTGTGGGGGACCCGGGGACCAGAGTGACAAGTGGCACACTTGCAATGGACAAGGTGATGGAATACCGTTAACCTGACATTACGTGTACGGCTATTATTGTCTCTTGCTGTAGCGGGAGAATCACAAAGAAGATCTTCTGGATTATTTGTTTTTTAGTTGAACGAATCTTCAAATTTTGGAGTTTAGTGCCGCAACCAAGCCTGTAGAAACTGCTTCTGTGGCTGCTTTGCCGTGACGTCCCGCTACTTTGAATTTTGTAAGACCAAACCAAAATCAGCTCAACCCACCAAGCTAAAGCATAACAAAACCTCAAACCTCACAACAATAGAAACATATTGTACAATATAACTGAAGAAATTTAATGTACAATTTCTACTGTAGACATCCAAATTTCCGATTTGGGTTTATTAATATCAGAAACCCTGTACAAAATATAGGTCAAAAACAAGTTACATTGAAGAGTTTGGGTGATGGGTTGTTGGGATTTTTTTATTTACGAAATCATACAATGCATATGACTTTGGGGGGCCACAGATTCGAATTGGGGATGAATGACTGAGTTAAAAACTGTCATTTTTTAATCAATTTGTTGTGTTAAGAAGATTTGGAAAATCCCAGTTGCAGGGTTAGCTTGGTAAGTAGGTTGGTTCTCAGCCTGAAGACCTATTGGCAAAATGTAGCAGAGAAAGGGACATATCTATTAGCCTTTAATCCTACTGTAGCTACAGCCACATCAACAAGCTTTAAGTTTATCACCAAGAGTGGTTCGTGTAAATAGTATGTGACAATAGAACCAGAAAATGTTTTGCCCAGAATAATGAATAATTGCAAAAAAAAAAAAAAAAAAAAAAGAAGATTACATAGGAAATGGTCACAAAACAAAGAAAAGGACAGAAGGGGGTTTGAATGGTATGTTTGTCATGGACATTAACCAGGCTAGGCTGGTACTGGTTGATGTCAGGTATAAAGACAGTGTACTGTAACTATTTTAGGATATATGCCAAATTTTATTTAATAAAATCTTGGCTTTTGGTTCAGGTAATAAGGTAATATACTTTGGCTTTTATATGAAGCTTACCTGGTATGAGCCATGGAAAATTTTTCTGGTGTTGCAGTGGTGCAGTGAAGGCAACAAATATGGCTGCAGCTGTGCGATCATCATCCAGCTAATCATGGGACCACTTTTGATCAAACTCTTGGAAGTTGAACCATTAGTTTTGTTTCATTTCTCGAAGGTAATAATCCCTGGACTGGAAATGTCCAATTTGATTAGTGGCCAGGCAGAGAGCTCCATATCGATTTCTCTTATTTTGCCTCCCGAAAACACATTTGATACCAATAAGCGCCACCAATCGGGTCTCTGCGTGCGGATTATTTTATCGAGTGTGTGTGTGTGTGAAGATCATACAAGAAAATGAGTAGATTCTGAATTTTATAGAAACGAGATTTCAGTAAATTTATTGATTAACAAGTTGAAGTGTTAGAGGTTTCACCAACAGACAAGCACATGAGAAGGGACCCAAACCCAAATGGCAGCAGCATCCTCACCTTAATTAGAAATGCCTGAACGACCTCTTTTCGTCTTATCATGATTCTGTTTCTGTGCATTCCAAACAAAACTGTCCTCTCAAACATAATCATCATAATCATCATCATCTTTTTCTTTTCTTTTCTTTTATTGTAATTCTTAAAACTGATGTTTCAATTCAAAAATCTTTTGAGATTGTTGTGTTGGACTAATTTTAGCCATGACTGAAGTTTGGATATTTTTGAAGGGTGGATCCAGTTCCAGGACACATCATTTATTGGCAAAATCAATCTTTCTTATTCTAACACTTAGAAAAAGTTAAATATATTTACAACTTTAAAGGGAAGCTTTCTGTTTCTGGTGGTTGGATTAATGAGGGACTACCACCACTTTTAAGCTTAATATCAAATGAAGGAAAAACAATGGCCTTTTTTTAATCTTCAAAAGACACTTGTGCGTGTAGGGTAATGAAACGTGGAGAACCAAAAATCAATTTCCTGACTTATCCATATCAAGGGATTCAGATTTCAGGCCCTGCACACTGCATCATATCTGCTCTTCTTCAAAACGGCAATAACAGAATTCGCATGCATTCGACAGCCAAATCCCACTAACACGTGGCAAATCAAAATCCTGAGCAAATTCAAATAATAACCCTTCTCAGAGATGAAAAAAGAACAAGTAGTCTGTAATTACTGTTGTGTCTTGATTGTAGCTGAAGCTTCTTCCTTGTGTAAAGGAGATTAAGCTATAAAGTTAAATGGAATCGGATGCTTCTGGTAACCTTTTCTTTCATAAAAAAACACACCACACCTCTTTTTCATAGCTTTGCTATAAAATTATCGTCTCTTTCACCAACCATCTAGTCATCTATCAATGTATCACATTCAAATCGATGCTTCTAGTTACTAGAGGGTTTATTCGATCGTTAATTTTAAAACCACAAAGGATTTGTCAAAGACTCAAAGTGTATGCAAATTGGTTCAAACACCCACGGCTACCAAAACAAAAAATTATTAGATAAGATTTGTATTGAAATTTTTGGTTTTATCATTTATAGTGTTGAGTTGATATCAAACTAATGTGGTGCTAATCCATCCTATCCTGGTCAAAGAGTTTTAAACAGTATAATGAGTATTATGTAGTCAAGAAAGCAAAAGCAAGTTTTTAATTTGAAGGTAAAGCAGCACCTGTAAATGCGTACGTGTGTGTTTTTTTTTTTTTTTCTACATTTATTTAGCATATTTCCCGTCACGTGCAGTAACACGTGCTCCACATAATGTGATAATGGACCAAAAAAGTGCAAAAGATTAAAAGAAAAGACCGAACAACACTTAGCCAAACTCGTCCGTCACCGTTACTTTGACGGAGTCCACAGTAATATTTTATAAAATAACAAAATACAAAACAAAATTGAAAAAAAAAAAAAACGAAAAACAAAAAGACATCCGATATTTTCATTCCCGCCGACAACAAAACTTGCCGAAAAACCGGCATTCACGATGGCCAGACTTGGTTTTACACAGAACTTTAGATAGCAGCAATAAGAGGATCCGACGCGAATAAGTCACCGATATCTTGAAAATGGTCATCCGCACGCCAACTCGGAAGTCCGAACCCGAAATCCGGATCCGAGTCCAAAAACATATCATCGAAATCAAACTTGTAAATCCCAGCTTTTACACTGTCCTCGTCAAATAAATCAGGCACGGAGCTATTAAAATCGAAAACATCGTTACTGAACAACGTATCGAACGTTGAATAATCTGAGAACTCGGAGAAACTTTCCGACACACACGATTCTTCTCGCATATCTCGTGCTTCACTCGCGACATCTCGTGTTTCTTTGCTCGTTTGCGACTCGGCTTCTTCGTTGGAAGGAGAGGGACAACGGAGGACTGAGACAGGAGAGTCAAGATTGTTAATGTTGTTGTGAGACTCTTCACCGGAGTTATAGCCGGAGCTAACTGCCTGCTTATTTTGTGGCGGAAATTTCGTCGGAGGAGTAGTGAAGTTGGTAAGGGCATCAGGTCCACGTAGCTGAATGGCCGCGTTGTCATAAACCATGGCTGCCTCCTCGGCAGTATCATAAGTACCTAACCACAACCGTACACGTCGCAGAGGATCTCTAATCTCAGCCGCCCATTTTCCCCAAGGTCTCTGTCGTACACCTCTAAACTTCTTACCAACCAGTTGCTTCGCCGCCGGCTTAAGATTCGCCTGAACTCCAACTTTTCCAGATGATTTTTTTCTTGCAATCCTTGACTTACTTCTCCAAACGGCATCGTTTTCGTTGGAACAAGACTCTATTGTAATCTCGTTGACAAACTTCTTGACCCGAGGTCGCGTGTAAAGTTCGCACTCTTCGTCACTAGAGGAGTCAGTGGCGTCACCATCAGTGACTGAAATCCGTACAACTCGGGGCTTCATTTCTGGCGGTGATGTTGTTGAGGAAGCAGTGAGAAGTTTGGTGTGGTTAAGGTGTTCAGAGTATTTGATTGAAGGGATAATACTTTGATCCATGGATGATTTTTCAGATTCGCATTGAAAGTGAAGTGAGCGTGCGGGGGAGAAGGCGTGAAACACAGAAATAGAGTGGAAAAAAGGAGTGAGAGATTCCTTTGAGGCAAGACACGAGGAGAATAAAGATGGCTAAAAAGAAAGCTGATGAAGAGAGCAGACGTTAAAGAGAAGCTTGAAACGGAGAGAAATCTAGCATTATTGAATTGAATACTAACTTATAAGGGGGAAAAAAAAGTTATTAAAGGACGAGAAATTTCAAAGAAAGTTACACGCTAAAAAGGAGAAAATGGGTAAGCCCAGAGGCAGAGAGCAATAAACCCAACAAAGAATAGTTGTACGGATAGGAAAGATACGGTGGAACAAAGAAGAGAGAGTTTTGAGTAGTAGCAGTACCGAGTGACGAAGAGATAAGAGAGAATGATAAAGGAGAAGAAGAAGCACAGTGGAGGTGGGAACCAAAACTAGCTATTTTATAGGATCCCAAATACTCGTAGTCTGTTAAACCGGTTTAGGTGCCATTTAATAATATAAATTTTAAATTTCTTTTTCTTCAGTGCTCTTTGTATTACAAATTTTTTTATTTTTAAATTTTTTAAACAAGAGTTGCATAAAAAGGTCAAAAAATTAACTAAGGTACCGGAGATTACCGGATTCCGGCGACTTAAGGAGATATTTTACGAGGCGCCGCATAAGGCGGAAATGATTGATATGACGCGTGGCAGAAGTGGGCCCAAAAAAGAGGAGATCCAATGGCAAGTGTGGACTAGAGCTGACTCGGCAAAAGATTTCTTCTTGAAAGTAGGGATTCAGGTCACGTGAGACCGGACACTTGGTTCAGTGTACCTTTGACTAAAGAATATTAATCTCTGATACTCAAGGAGTTAATTACCCCAATCAATGACAGTTAATTACCCCAATCAATGACAGTTAATTACCAACTAATTAACAGTCATTAAATTTCCTTCCAAGGGCGAATGAGTCATTTTTCACCAATTGGAAAGGCCCGTTACAGTACACTCCATGCTGGCCTGGCGAAGATTTTACCATTTCACCTTATCTTTCTGTTATTTTACAGCTGGGGCTAACATGGGAGGCAGGCAACCTACCTAGGACTTGGAGCCCATTTATAACTAAACGTTTTTAATTCCTAACCATGCCTCCTGTTTTTACTTTTTTGTTTTGTCCACCTACAACGTTTTGTGTTTTGTACAAACAAGTTTTTGTTTCGGTACAATAGCGCCGTTGGTTACTAAGACTAAATTACAGCAGTCCGATTTGATGACTGACTTCAATCAGATCATAAAAGATGTCTTCGTATCTCGGTTTTAATTACATCACGTGATCCATAGTTACATGAAGTTATTATCTTTGACTTTATACTATAAGGGGCCGTTGTTTTTAATTTATATCACATTTTATTACTTCAACCATCAACACGACACCCCATTCTTCTTCTGTCAAGTTTTTATTATACAAATATTTAAAATAAAATATGGTCAGTAATTAGAATTTCAGTTGTTATATAACATAAATTCGTTAGGTGTTTATGATTAATGTATGACAATATACGGCTACAGTTAAACGGCGTTACCTAGGATTCTGATGATAAGAGCCAGAACAAAACAACCGTATATTTCATACACCTAAAATCCCACTAGTATTAATAAACTCATTTCACCATATTCTCCTCTCCATTTCTCCATTTATTATGCTCCCTCATTAGTCATTATTATAAATACTAGGGGTGTTCGGTTCCGGGTATCATACACTTTTTGAAGGAACCAGAACCGAAACCGGCACCGACACCGATGGTTCCTTGAAATTTGGAACTAAAACTAGAACCGACGGTTCTGGTTCCTAGGTACCCAGAACCAAAACCTGTAACAACAGTTCTGGTTCCGGTTTTGGGTACACTGTAAAATTTATGACCCCCCAAAAGTTTTTAAAATGGTAAAAAAACCCTTAAAACTTACAAATACCCTCCCNCGTATCTCGGTTTTAATTACATCACGTGATCCATAGTTACATGAAGTTATTATCTTTGACTTTATACTATAAGGGGCCGTTGTTTTTAATTTATATCACATTTTATTACTTCAACCATCAACACAACACCCCATTCTTCTTCTGTCAAGTTTTTATTATACAAATATTTAAAATAAAATATAGTCAGTAATTAGAATTTCAGTTGTTATATAACATAAATTCGTTAGGTGTTTATGGTTAATGTATGACAATATATGGCTACAGTAACAGCGTTACCTAGGATTCTGATTATGAGAGCCAGAACAAAACAACCGTATATTTCATACACCTAAAATCCCACTAGTATCAATAAACTCCTTTCACTATATTCTCCTTTCCATTTCTCCATTTATTATGCTCCCTCATTAGTCATTATTATAAATACAGCTTTTGTTACCTAATTTTGTTTTTACTATTTATGTCTCTACTATTTCCAATACGAATTTAAGGTTATACACATTGAGGGCACCAAAGTAATTTCATTCTTATCTGGGCTAATATTTGATGGGCCGGAAAGTAATTGGGCTAAAGCCCAAAACTCCTTGAACGACGTGTCAAACAAAGAAGCCGTCCAGCTTGTTGGTTTCCTCCACTCTTATTTAAGTATAATTAATTATGGTAATATAATTTTCTTCTTGGACTGATTTTATATGCCAACAAGGCAACAAACATGGCTTTGCTTCAGCCTTCATTGCATATGCTATTTGACAACAAAACATAACTGGGTTAGTGGGTTATGGTGCAACTTGCTACCTTTTCTTGTACTTGTTCCAATTTTTTTTTTTTATTATTGTAATTAAATACTTAATAAAAACAAAATTTATATTTTTCCATGGCGTTTGTGACGGGTAGTGGGTTGATTAGTGATTACTAAACTTAAAACTAACCGTTTTTTAAATTAAAATAAGAGTAAATGACTTTTTTCCACCCAAATAATGGTTTGAATGATACATTTTCACCCACAAACTTTTAGAATACCACTTTACTATCCAAATTTATATTATATTTTCGATTCTGGTATCGTTGCGATCCCACATCACTACCATTCTCTTCCCCGGTTATCACTCACTAAAACCTCTCAAACTCTACTCTTATTGACCTTGTCAATCGCCGACAATCGAACAATTAAGATTTGAGCATCCACCCCTTCCAAGTCAAATTTTGATCAATTCTAATCGTCAAAATCCAACCTTTCACCACCAAAAGACTCATCGGCCTTTCCTCTTCAAAAACTTCAATAACCTGGAACGAGTTTGCTCTCTGTTTATCGTTGGAATATAAATTTGGATAGTAAAATGATATTTTAAAAGTTTGTCCATAAGAAAGTGTTATTAACCATTATTTAGGTGGGAAAAAGTTGTTAACTCTTGAAATAATAACCATAAAAGGCATATTACTATCTTATGGTGTATATATTTAGGAATAATCCAAAAAATCAAAGGTCATATAATGTGTTTATTTATAGGTGTCAATGCATGAATGATTGTTGGGTGGGTGGGTGGGTTCCCATTGTCACAGGTAGATAGATAGATAGATATAAAATTCTGACTAGTAATAGTAAGGAGAATTGGCCAATCATTTGCCGTTTTGTTCCACATTGAATTTGGATTATTTGTCGACAATTAGTGGTTAGCCAGATATTCATCTTCTCTTTATTACTAATAAAAAGTGATAGCTACATGCACATTTTGTAACCATTAACAAAAGTTGAACACTCATTGAGCTCCCTTCACCCAAATTAATCTCTTAACAAAACCCCACGATGCTGACTTGCCTAATTATACTAATGCTACAATTAATAGAGATTAGGGAGATGTACTTAGAAAAGATTAATTAAGAAAACCCCAAGGAATTGATCTGACAGTCAAGGATGTTTGCTCAATTCCTTGAGTTATTGGGTTTAAACTTCATGGTCACCTACTATAATAATATTGTGATTTATATGATCTTTTGCCCTTATATGGTGTTCAATGGATCTCGAAAATTAGTTGAAGTGCACACAAACTAATCCGGATATTCTGATTACTAAAAAAAAAAAAAAAAAAAGATTTAAGAAAGTAAAAGAGACAAGAAATAAGTGTATGTTAGTTTCTGGGATTAAGTAAGTCCCACTTAATAACGAGTCGTATGAGAACAAAGATATAATAACATGCATAAAAATACATGAGAACCGACAAAGTCCCAAAGAGGTCTTGGCCGAATTTAAATTTAATTAAATAATTTAGGGTGTCTAACTACGAAATTTCTATCATTTTCTTAATGCAAATAGTGGGGTGGGGTTTTGGGTTTAAACATTTTGTTTAAGTCAAAATGAGCATCGTCTCCTAGAAGAAGAACTTTGAGCCCACAAATTCGATCATTGTTGTTATTACTTTTTTGTAACCATATGCTTCTATATGGGTTTGATGCTAAGTAAGTCAACTGGCACTGTGACCCATACGTACTTCGTTTTTTCAGTTTTCTTTTATTATTGCTTAATCATATTGTTTATGGAACATTGTTTGTGTTTTACCAAAAATAATAATTTTAAACTAATAATTAATGCTTGTGTCATCACTGCTGATGCAATAGTTTGTATTTTATTAAATACTCTAGTTATTATAAGAGATATTATTTTTGAATTTTATGGCTGATATTATGATGTGTGGTCAAGAGAGATTAGAAAAATAATTAAGAGGGTTGTTTAATTTGAATCATAATTAAAAGAAAACTGTACGGGTACTGTCTCGGAATTCGTGGTCGTAGAAAAGTGAGTGACCGCTGAGAGACTGGGTGGGTCCCATTTAGAAACACCACCACCGTTCAATTCAAACAGTCAGTCCGTAACGGGCGCCGGTCACGCTTTTCGAGCGGTAAGAACCGACAGGTGTAGGTGGGTGGTTTAATGTGACGGTGACGTGGCTTCCGTTTATCAATGTCTGTTTGGTTGAAGCTGAAACTTCGTGGAAATAGTCTTTTTTAAAAGAAAAAGGAAAAGTGGTTTTTGTGTGCAAAAAAAATGGTGGGTTGTACTTGAAAAGTAACTCAAAGGGCCTGAAATTGAGGGTTTTAGATAGCCCACATTATGGCGACCAAAAAATCCCGTTTAGAATTTATGTTGATCAGAGCTTTTATGGGTCTCTATTTAATGCCTTTTTTTTTCTACCCACCATTAATGCTTCTTTTCCTTATTTTGTACACAATAAGTTGTGATTTTTAATTACCCTATTTCACCACGTTTTCACCTTTTTTTTAATGCACATTATACCTGCAGTTTAAGTTAATTAAGAGAAATAAATTAATAAAATGATTAAATTGAGTTTAATCGACTCTCTCTCTCGACAATGGTCACGTTATCCACTGAGTGGAGGTGAGCTTGTAATTGTCACAGTTTGTCTTCATTAAGAGACAAAGAGAGATTAATAAAGAGTTTGATTAGATTCAATTAATGGAAGATT